GTACTTAATGTGGTTTTTAGCACTTCCTCTCCACCGACTAAATTTCCCTCCTTCCATACTTCTCTAGTCTACTTTTTTGAACACTCTATTGTGAGGTCCTTCAAGCAGCGACACCATCACATTTTAGGGCTGCTGCAGTTATGAAATGGAATTTTATAGAATGAATAACAACGAGTATGTATTTAAACTGCTGGTGTGCCACCCATCTCTACATGACACACATCCTCTCTGCAACCGTCGTCATCATGATTATCATTACCCAGGCAATGTGTGATTCATAGCAGGCAGAACTATGTGGTGATCAAGACTAATTATTCTCATCTTTGCCATTGAGAAATAAGAAAACGCTGGTTCAGACCAGGCCATTCAACATGCTCGGAAATCATATCAGGGTCACAAGGCTTTCTCAAAAGAAAAAGCCATTATGTGCATTGGAATAATGAAATGGAAGTCTTGAGCTTGAAGCTTTTAATGTGCGGTTTCAAATTTTTTTCCTGGAATTATTAAGGTTATGATGGCTGATCCTGGACCAGTACAAAACCTCATTTTGCACCCACAGAGCCTCAGGCAGCTGAGGGGAAGTGCTCAGCAGTGTGCTTCATCACACAATAATACAACGTTAATGACGCAGAATGGTGTCTTTCTTTGGCCCTGAAAGACGTCAAGGAAGGATGTTTAAGGAACGGTGGTCCTAATTACGTTTTTTATTCCCAAATCTGACGTGATTGATGGTTTCAAAGGAGATGCATTATTGATTCACTTCACAGACAAGTTGTATTGATTGCGAAATCCTGAAAGAGTATGACTTTTCCTCCTCTTACTTTCTTTCTCCCGCTACAATCAGGGCTGGAAAGTATGACCTCTGGGTGCTTTTTAAAATGATCGTCCTAAAAGCGTTTTGATGAGGATGTGACAGAGGATGCCTCAGCTGTGTGGCTTTTTGTGTTGTGCTGCATCTCTGCCTGAGTAGCAACTAACCAGCACGGCTCAGCCAGCTCCTGTCACACGCCTGTCGTATACTCAACATCTCCGCAGCTTTGTTATTCCTCCTTGCCTGCAGAAAGGTCGCAGTGCTGTGCTGTAACTGCGGGACATTTCTATGTGTGTGTGTGTGTGTGTGTGTGTGTGTGTGTATCTGTCTTCACTGCAAAAGACGAGGAGAGACCAACTGAAATATTTGACATGACAGCAGTTATTCAGCATCCACAGCTCCTAAACAATAATGGCATATGCAGCACAAACAACCCTGGGACGAGGCTGTCATTTTATGCTGATATGGGATTCCTTATTATGATTTCTAACCCTGAGCTTTGTAAATTAGAACCTAAACATGAACATAGATTTGCACAAGAATTGTCAGAAATAGTTTTAATAGTTATTAGTTATAGTTAAAAGTTAATAGTTATTTTTGGAGAAACCATTTAAAATGGTCCACGATGTTTAAAAACAAACAAGAAATTTAAAATCATCCAAGATGGAAACCTGCATACTTTTTTTTTTACTTTCGGCATTTTAATTATGAGACTCAGATGAATTATTTAAATGTGACATTATGTTTTACATAACATAGGCCCTGCAGAAGTTTTTTTTTCTAGATGAAAAACACTGGATGAACATTTAGATGGTCATAAGACCACAGTGAAAATGAAGACTAAAGAGGTTTCTTTGAATTTAGGGCTAAATTACCAGGATTCAGTTTCCAGGAAGTGGACGTCACATAAAATTCCACAGACACTTGCCAGAAAAGGTCTTCTCACAAAGCTCATGCAAACAAGGAGAATTATGAGAGAAAAAGATGAACAAACAAACAAACACTAGCCTTTAATGACTGGCAAAGAGGAAGTTACTACTCAAAAAGATGTGAAAGCACATCAACATGTCTATAGAGTTTATTCATGGTGACCTAGTTCTAATGTGGAAAAAGATTTTGTGGTTGCATGAGACCACAATTGCAGATGATGGGTGTGTTGTGAATGTAACGCTGGCCACATCTCAAAAATAAAAACCTACAGTGAAATATGAGGGGGTAGAATCATGATGTCTGCATTTCGTGAGCAAAGACTGGACATCTTGTTAAAAATAGATGGAAGAATACATGGTGAAAAACACAGTGAAATACTGCAATATGCATCTGTGTGCTAAAACAGTTTGTGAGAAAGTTCATCTAACGTTCATGGTTGTAGCTGAAGAACAAAAGGTAGTTAAATCCCAGATATCCTATTTATCTCATACAGCAATAATAATAGTACACAATTAGAAACAAAGATCTTTAGAAGTTCTGCAAAATGTGTCTCCACGACATTCATTTTTAATTACTGAATATCTAATTAGTGCCTTCAAATACAGAATAGGCTACATTTCAACATCAGATTAGCAATCATCTTTATAAATTCTGATCATATGTAGCTATAAATGGCCCATATTCTCAAATGAGGGAGTTAGGGGAAGAATGTGCCATTTCTCCTGGTTTGCAGGGTAAAATAAAGGTAGACCAAACCCATGTGAGGGGGTCTTGTTTAAGTGAATGCATGCAATGAGCATGTTTTGTTGGCACATGTGATTGTATCTGATATATTTGTGTAACTATTCATGGCTTTTTCTTACGCAATCAAATCTCTGCTTCAGTCAAAATCCTCATTTTCTTTGCTTCCTGAATATGTTATGTTTTGTAAGTTTTCAATAAACTGATATATCCTCCTGAGACCCGAGGAAAAAAAGTGTCATCAAAATTTTTGTTTTGTGTGATTTCCTACTTCTTTTGGGTTAAAAAAACATTCTACAATTTAGAGTTTTTAAATATTATTTGTATTTTTAATTTTACAGCATGTCCACTGTAGTGGACCATAGGACCATTTTAGTTCGAAAAGACAGCCAAACTCAGAAAACAAAAATGAACAGAATCTGGCTGTAGAGTGATATTAATCCAACATTAATATAACATAAAAACAAAACAAAAGCAAATTTTTCATTCTGTATTGCTTGCTTAGCAGTGAAAGTCCTGGAACAGTTTAGTTTGAAAAGACAGCCGAACTCAGAAAACAAAAAATGAACAGAATGCGGCTGTAGAGTGATATTAATCCAAGAATAAATTCAACATAAAAACAAATTAAAACTAATTGTCATTCTGGATTGTTTCACTTGCTTAGTGGTGATACTCCTGAAAGCATTTTCTCTTTTTGGTAATGCAGAGAAACATCTTGCATTTGGTACACTTCATGTACGTCTTGCTTTTGCAGCCCTTATTTCTGCACCTTTCTGCATGGTTGATATCTACCATCTCTGGCATGTGGGTGGCTCCTAGTCTGCGCACAGATGGTTCGGGTTGCGGGATCCTCATTTTAGTTGGTGGCTCATACTCTTCTTCACTTTTTTCGCTGCTGTCATCAAGTTCTGGACAATCCAACAACTCTTCAGCGACGTGCAATTTGAAGTCCAGGTACTGTTTGGTGTTCTTTGCTGGTTTGTTGAGTGCTTTGCTGTCAGACTTGTATTGGATCCACGAGTTTGTGATGGCAACATCAAAGAAGTGAGTAATGACACGTAATGTCCATTTCTTGGACCTATTTGACATGCGATAAAAGCTCAGCATGCGGTCACACAAGTCCATGCCACCCATGTTGTCATTATACTCCTTGATCACTGCTGGTCTTCTCACCGGGACATGGACTTTTTCTTTTTTGGACCATCTGTTGCAGACATCTTCAGGATCTTTCCCATGAACTGTGGAAGCCATTAGCACTGATTTGTTGTCATACCATTTTGTGATTGCCAGCTCAGGACTCTTTCTGACCAGAGACACTGATGCTCCTCTCCCCTCTTTTTGTATCACCTTGTCGCTTGGCAGTTTGCTCTGCTTTGGGACTCGGTTCTTCGTTATGGTTCCTGTTGCTGGAAGGCCTTTTGCCAGCAATGCATCCATGAGATTGATTGTTGTGAAGTATCGGTCGAAGAATAGATGACTTCCAGTGGGCACAGACTCAACCATGCGTAGGACTGCTGCTAGTCCGACTCCCAGTCTTTGGTCAGTGAATGTATTCTTCCCTTGGTACACTTCAAAATCCAGCATCAGACCATTTGGAGAAGCAAGGACAAAGACCTTTAGGCCAGTAGGGTTTGGCTTGCCTGGAACATATTGCCTGACTGGACAGCGGCCTGTGAAAGGGATGATTTGCTCATCAATGCAGACCTTCTGTGTCTTTGGGAGGTTGAGGCAGCCTTGCCTCACACGGTCAAGTAATGGCCTGACTTTCCAAAGAATGTCTGCCTTCTTTGTTTCCTCTGTTATAGCCAGGTCATCCACAATCTTGAGTGAGTTTCTCAGCTTAAAAAACCTATCCCTTTTCATTTTGCTGCTTATAACTGGCACTTTTGTTTTTTTGCCTAGAAAGCCCAGGATGTCCTCTGTACAGTACAGCAGGAATTGACAGAGTAGCTCAAAAAATTAAAAGAACATTCATGAAAACAAAAGGTCCACTACAGAGGACACAAGTCAATGGGCGGGGTCTCAGGAGGATATGCTGACAGATTGTAAACCACCTGATATCCTTTCTTGTCCCCAGTCACTGGAAGCGTTTTTCTGCTCTGTGCTGCTCCTGGTGGACTAGCTTTTGATGGGAGATGGAAAAACACATCTGTTCCCTCTGATTTTACCTGAGCGGATGAAAACAACATCAGTGCCTCTGATTAGGGATCATATTCTCAGCTCTCTGGTCCTCAAAGGCTCCTTTTACCACAAACCTAACAACAGTAATTTTGATTCAGTTGGCCTGTCTGTTTCATGCTAGACCAGTGAACTCCAGAATCTCACTCCTGTCAAAGTAAATATCCAAAGGGCATCATATACACGCTACAGTATTTCCTCTTGTACTAGCTGAAATGATAACAAAGGTTCTTGGTTTTTATTATCAGACGCCGAGGCTGTCTATATATTTAAGTAATAATTAATGAAGACTATACTAGCAGTTTATTTATGGCGCCTTCGTAGCGGCGCCTGAGCAGCAGATGGCAGTAGTGTGTAATATATAGTTTCATCACTCCATTTCACTCGACTTGAGCAACATGTCTGCGCCCTGGACACATGTGTAAACAAACATGGAGATGAGAATAACCTTGCACAAGGGTTAACCCAAGTGAAACATTTTGAAATTATCCACTTACGTATAGAAAACTTGTTTCAGCAATGACCTTGCGGCTTTGCGAGACGTTTCTACGCAGATCTTTGCGATTTTCAACGATCCGCGAACTGACGACAGCCCCAGAGCACGCGCCACTGTATCTGCGTCTATCAGGTGATTTATAGATTATAGATTATACACAGTCTGTTTATCCTTCTTGTATGTCGTGACGTTATGCTAGATGACAAACTGGTTGTATTTGTCTTATTCGCCACCAGAAATAAAACCAAACTCGTAGAAAAACAACAACGTCATGGTATCTCTTATTTTACCTGTCGTTTGTCCTCTAACGTTACTTCTTCACAGGTTGCTCAGTTTTTGGTCCACAGACAGTAAGAAAATGTCTCTTTCATTGCACTCCGGCCAGTTTGGTGTCTTCGAGTGCTTTTTTGGACACACTGCAGAAGGGGAGAGCGGTGGTGTCCGATGAGGGTCTCTGTCATCATCAGCCTGTCTCTGTTCCATCAGACAGCGGTAAGAATATAATCACCAGCCCCTCTCGAGCCTTCAAGACTGCTGTTTTACAGACAACATGTCGAAAACAGTTATTTGTTGTTATCTCCATGGATATTTATGATATTATAGCCTATTCGTTAAACCAATTTTGTCTGTGTGTTTATGTATGTGTTCTGCTCTCAGGTCATCAATTTTCCTTATTGCTAAAGAATCCTGATCAACCTGAAAATGCCAAATCTCTTAAAGTGGCGATAGTGGGTGCGCCTAATGCAGGGAAATCAACATTGATCAATCAACTGCTGGGTCGAAAGGTGATATTATACTAATGTTTGGAATAAAAATTAAGGTGAAATGTGTTTTTTCTCACCCAGAAATGTTATTTCTGCTATTTACTCAGCCTGTAAATAACAGGCTGTGTATAAAGTAACAGTGCTGTTCCAACATGTTTGAATGTACACATGTAAAAATGAGATTTGCATAGTGATGCATAATTAGGAGTAAGTAATGACAGAATTTACATTTTTTGTGTGAACGATCCCTATAAGAACTTGTGTCTGTAACCTTAAATGTTAATTCACAATTTTTATATAGTTGTTTGCTGTTTCTGAGAAAGTGCACACAACAAGATCACGTGCTGTTGGTGTCCTGACAGAGGATGACACACAAATCGTAAGTACCTCTTCTACCCCATGTATAATAGTCTAGTCTGTTTAGGCAGTGTTCCATGTTTGGATGGCATTATCTCACCTATTTATTTTTTCTATCAGATACTGTTGGATACCCCTGGTCTCACCACACCAATAAAGGCTAAAAGGTGACTATGTAATACAGCAGTTTCTTACAACATTAGGTGGCAACTGTAAGTTAACCATTTGTTGGTTGATTTCCCAGAAAAGTGTAGATACTGTGCTCTGCAATCTTGCTCTGATTGTTTGAACATCTCAACCAACTAGAAACAACAACATTTGTTTAACTAATGCCATGATTGTGGTAAAAATTCTCATACTCATACAAACTAAACTTGATTTTGTTATATTTGTTTAACAGACATCACCTGGAGGAATCGCTGCTGGTGGATCCTTTTGAGTCAATAAAGGAAGCTGATCTAGGTAAATAAAAAATCTTTGTTTTAGCTGTTCTTCTCTTATTTATTTCTTAATCTGTTCAAAAACAAAGACACAGCCAGCATCCAATAGAATCGCCATTGGCTTAGTGTGTGTGTATAATTAGAACTAACCATGAAAATGTACAAGAGGTATATATCAACTTAGTTAGGAGAGCTCTTGGACAAACGAGAGCCTTGGAGTCAAAGAGGCTGAGAACCACTGTATTATGACTCTGTATTTAGTGCTGAATCTTCAATTTTTTTCCATTTCTGCTATATATTTGCAGTGGTGGTGCTAGTCGATATGTCTGATAAATGGACCCGCAATAAGCTGGACTATGAAGTGCTGAAGTGTCTGGCCCTGAATCCAGATGTCCCTGCCATCCTTGTCCTCAATAAGGTATTAGCGTTGTCATTTTGTATTGATCTGTCCTAGTCTGACCATAGGATTAGTTTGTGGAGGATATTACCATCTCTTTTTCTCTGCATATCCCATCTCTCATCTTGCAAAGAGGGGGGGGGGCTGTTTTGCTGCAACTGTTAACATCGAAATGAATATCACTATTAAACTCAGTGAATGAATAATAGCTGGTACACTTAGAAGATCAAAAAATCAACTCTTAACACACAGGTAGATCTACTGAAGAACAAAACACTTTTGCTAGACATCACGGCACAGCTGACAGAAGGGGTGGTTAATGGAAAGAAGATCAGGATCCGTGGCGCAGAGAAACCACTTGAGAAATTAGCAGCCAAACGCCACAGCAGACATGCTGAAGAACCACAGTCTGAGAGCACGAAGGACGGGCTGTCTCAGGAGGGTCAGGACAAAGACAGGTTGAAGGCCCTGAAGAGCCGCAGGGGGTGGCTTCTTTTTAAGGATGTATTCATGTTAAGTTCTATTGACAGAGAAGATGTGGAAACATTAAAGGTTAGAGACTGCATTGGAGATTTTAAGAAAGAGACATTTGCATTAAAGCAAACTTGATGTTGGAATCTCCAGCATTGTGCTACTCATCCTAAATTTGTCTGTGTTTGAACAATAGAAATACCTGTTTGATGGTGCAAAGCCTGGCCAGTGGCAGTACCACAGTGAAGTACTGACTGATCAGGGTCCTGAGGAGATGTGCATCAACACTATCAGAGAGAAACTTCTACAGCATCTCCCGAAGGAAGTGCCGTACAGTATGACACAGGTGGGTCATTATTTGTGCACACTAAAAAGGTGTTGAAATAGGCTACCATTTGGGGTCAATAGAATTTTTTTTTTTAAAGAAATTAAATTATTCAGCAAGGATGCATTCAAATGATCAAAAGGGACAGTAAAGACCTTCACATTGTTACAAATGTAGCATTTGAACCATTTATTCATCTTAGAATCCTGAATATATGGTTTGCAGTACACAGAAATATTAAGCAGCACAACTGTTTTTTGTTTTTTAAATATTAATGATAATAAGAAATGTTTCTTGACCACCAAATCAGCATATTTCTGAAGGAATTGTTCTGAAGAACAATTTCTGAACGATTGTGTCACTTTGAAGACTGGAGTAATGACTGCTGAAAATTCAGCTTTGCCATCAGAGGAATATATAAATATAAAACAATTATTTTAAATTTTAATAATATGTGTTTACTGTAATAATATTCAAATTATATTTGACTGTTTACTGTATTTTTGGTCAAATAAATATAGCCATATTCTGTTAGCTCTAAATTGGGAGTTTCTTCACAAAACCTAATCATACATACATCATCTTTTTGAATGATTCTATTACTCAAAGTATGTATTGTGACCTTTTTATATTATTTATGTTTTCTGTAATGTTATTTGTTTTCGTTATTATTTTGGTCTTTTTGCAGCAAATTGAAATCTGGAAGGAATCTGAAGATGGGGTACTCGACATATCCATCAAGCTATATGTAAAGAAAGACACTCATATGGTGAGTTGGTTCGCATATTTCTGAAGGAATTGTTCTGAAGAACAATTTCTGAATGATTGTGTCACATTGAAGACTGGAGTAATGACTGCTGAAAATTCAGATTTGCCATCAGAGGAATATATAAATATAAAACAATTATTTTAAATTTTAATAATATGTGTTTACTGTAATAATATTCAAATTATATTTGACTGTTTACTGTATTTTTGGTCAAATAAATATAGCCATATTCTGTTAGCTCTAAATTGGGAGTTTCTTCACAAAACCTAATCATACATACATCATCTTTTTGAATGATTCTATTACTCAAAGTATGTATTGTGACCTTTTTATATTATTTATGTTTTCTGTAATGTTATTTGTTTTCGTTATTATTTTGGTCTTTTTGCAGCAAATTGAAATCTGGAAGGAATCTGAAGATGGGGTACTCGACATATCCATCAAGCTATATGTAAAGAAAGACACTCATATGGTGAGTTGGTTCGTTTGCCAAATTTATTTAGAGAGGCTAGTCTTCTGTGCTGCTGTTTTAACCATCAGGCGACTTTAGTTTTATTGTAGACATTTTGTGGAATTGTTTTTAAGACAAAAGAGTGCTTTCTCACTACCTGAAGAAACAGTAACATTATTATGCTTCACTATAAATTGAAACCTTTGTTCTTTCTTGCAGAAAATGGTTATTGGTCCTGGAGGTCATTTGATAACCAGAATAACCCAGGAAGCTGAAAGTGACCTAATGAAGATTTTCTTGCGTGAAGTGCGTTTAAAAATCTCTGCAAAGTTGAAGAAGTGAGGTAGACTGTTTGAATGATGAAGGTCAGAGCCTGACACATGCAGAGGCAAGTAAGAGTGAAGAAATGGACATGAAGTCAAAATTGGCTGTATTTTGGGTTAAACTGTCAGGTTGATCTCAACAGACCTCCCTCATTCCTGTAAAATGAAATGTAAGTATTTCAGGCACATTACATGGGTTTTTTGTATAATTTCAATGAGACTATGATCGGTTGTATCACATATGCCTGTGCTGCTTACATATCTTGCTGCTTTTGATTTATAAAAATGTCTATATAATAATAAATGCCAAAAATCACATAGTTCTGCATTCAAACATAGGTATACTTGTTTGCTCTGAGGGTAAGGTTCACTTTCACTCTTTTACTGGAAGGAAGGGTTTACCTTGTTTTTTATTACTCGTTGTCTTCAGTGTGGTCAGGCTGTTATCTGTGGTGCAGTCTTGCTGTTTAACTGAATGTCTTGCGTAATAACATTACACTGACCTGAAATCACTCAACTGTAAGCCCGGCTCCAGCTCTAACATGTAAGGAGAGCCATAAGACTCAGTGGGCTGCACAGTTGGGGTGGTGGCTGGTTGCCAGGGTGGAGCCGGGCCTCCTCAACTGGGGCTGTACACGATACTAACTGCAGCTTTTTGAATTATTAACTCTTTGTAGCTATGTCTGTAATATTGCAGTTAATAAATATTATCAATAATTAATTTTCATCAGTTGAGTAAATTATTGCATCAGTTTTAGTTTAGACTCTTTATGGTGAAAAAGTTATGGTCACTATCTACAGACTGCACATAAGGAGCTGAAAGAATCAACTCACTTATTCGCTGCAGACATTTAATTGTGTAAATCTCAATTGTTTGTTTTATTATAATACCCAACCATTAAAAAGTTTGGGGTCAATAAAATTGTAATGTTTTTGAAAGAAGTCATTTATGCTCACCAAGGATGCATTAATCTGATACAAAAAATACAGTAAACGGTAAAATATTAATTGCAAAAAGTCTTCTATTTTATTATTTATTTATTATTTCAAAAATGTAATTTAGGCCTATTTCTGTGACGACAAAGCTGAATTTTCAGCAGCCATTACTCCAGTCTTAAATGTCACATGATCCTACAGAAATAATTCTAATATGCTGATTTGGTCTTAAGAAACATTTCTTATTACTAAATGTTGAAATCTGTTGTGCTGCCTAATATTTTTGAGGAAACAGTGATACATTTTTATCAGGATTCTTGATTAATGGAAAGTACAAAATAACAGGATTTATTAGAAATAGAAATCATTTGTAAAACTTTAAAAGTACTGCTGCTACTTTAATTTTGTTAAAAAAATAAATTTACACTGGCCCCAACCTCTGAACAGTTATGTGTAGCTCTCTCTCTCTCTCTCTCTCTCTCTCTCTCTCTCTCTCTCTCTCTCTTAAATTCAATTTAAGAGTGCTTTATTGGCATGACAAAAAATTATACATTTGTATTGCCAAAGTAATTGCAGCTGGACTGCTTACAAATAGTACACATATGTATTAACAGAAAGAAAAAGAATAATAGTAATAATAATAATATATAAAAAGTATTAAGCATGTAGTGCAAAATGAGTTACTAATGTATGTAAGTATATAAACTAGAAATAAAAATAAAATAAGGGATTAGACATATTTACAGAAGCAAAATATACATCTAAGTAATATAATACAGTAATTTGGCATAATATAAT